TTTTTAAGAGTTTTAGCCAAATGCATTATAATATAGTATAGATTTCATGCGATTTTTTTTCTCAAGAATATTATTTTGAATATTACTGAATTTAATTTATAGATAATTAAATAAATTTTCTAGAATATTTTTTAAATAAAAAGAGTACGATAATATGTTTTTAAAAGCTGTAATTGATTATAACTGAAAATAAGCAGAATTGTTATTTAATATTGTAATAATTTCATTTAATGGGTTTGAAACTTTTGCAAATAAATGCAATTTTTATGTGTGACGGATCTACCCTTTTGGGTTGTATTATGAATATAGACATATTATGAGGCTAGGTACCTCTCATTATTGCAATTTCATCTTCCTTTTTTTCCAATTATTTCCACGTCATTGTTTTCCTCATCAACTATCCAAATAGGATGTTTGCGGTATAGTTTAGACCGTATAATTTCATTTTAACAAATCAGATCGTAAGCAGTGGTTTGACAAGTTGTAAACAAATATATGTTAATCAGTACATTAAATCCAAGTCATAAACAAAAAATATCATGTAAAATAGCATACGATGCACCAGTTCTCAAAGTTATCACAACTTATTGGGTTTTCAAATGATTAAGAATTTATATATACATACGTACATATAAATCGATGAGTATAAATTGTTATACTTCAAAACCATTTGATATGCTGTGTTTTTATCTAACGGTTTATCCTCAATGACTTCAATTGATTGTTGACCCAAAAACACATACTTTCAACCACATTCATCGACCATAATATTCATTTTAACTCACTTTTACTTATCGTTAATTATTTTCACTTGCATAAATCCCCTTGTAGCCACGAAAGTTCAAATGCAGTGACTCCGGGCTATCTACAAAACAGGTAGTCGCCCTGGGATTAGTCGGCTCGCATAGCGGGTTAGATATTCAGGATTAAAAAAAATTGTTAATGTTTTTCAGTGGTGGTGATGAAAATAGATAATTGAATGTTTTGTTCTCATCTTCCCATTACAATCCTTATTCACATATGATCTCAAGTTTGTATGTATAAGCGATCTGCTTGATTAAACTGTCAAACTAGAATGTCCAAATCATAGACTAGATCAAACAATGCAGGTTGGGTTTTTCCACATTGGACCTCCAAGTCGTCTCATAAGGGCCGATCCTGAGATTTTTTATGCCCGTGCGAAAATAATAATAAAAAATGCCCCTAAGCCTATTTTTTAAGTCAATTAAACAACGAAACATGCAATTTTTTACAGAGTTTGAAACATAGTCAAGCTAAGTGTCTCATTTCCATGTTGATTTTCATTAATTATAATAAAAAAAATACAAGGGGGGGGGGATAAAAACCAAAACCCCAAATACAAAATATGGAATAATAAAAAGATAAATCCTAGATTAAGATTGTGCATCATTCTTTTCCAGTTTTCCGTTTTCCAATTTGAAATTAGCAAAATAGAAAATTTATTTCAATATATGAAACTTAGAAGATAAGGAAAACTATAATTAGTTTTTAACTAAAATAGTAAATTACATTCAAATTACCGTCATAGTAAACAAAAAGTAAAACTAAAAAAGTTACAGGTTTAACGACTAAAGTCTAAAGGCCTATTTGTTAGCAGCTTAATAAGCTTATTGGGACTAACAACTTATTCTCTCAACTATGTATGATTGCTTCGTAGTGGCTTAATAATATAAAAAATAACTTATCCAGTAAGCTTCTAGGGGGAGTTTTATATAAAAAGTCAAGTTTTATTTTCTAAACATGTCCCTCCCAACTAAAAAAACGCTTCTTACATGTATGGAAAAAAACTATCTCAAACAAAAACTTTTCCAACTTATACAAATAGATTAATCCGTACAGACAACTTTATCCATATAGAACTTAATAAAAAAACCAATCAAATGGCCCCTAAATCTAATGCGGTAATGTCAAACCTCAAAGTAAACAAAAGTCAAAATAACAATGATAAATTGTAAAATTCATAACATATGTTGCGTGCATTGCAAAGAACAAGTGTCAATAATTAAGACAATATCACAATATGTTTTTAAGGTTGTGCAACATGCTCCACCTATGTTGATACAATGATTTACTCATGTGCATTGCAAATTTCAATTCTTAGATATTTCAATATGCAAGAGGAAGACTGATTAATAAAATGACTAAAGCCCCTTAGCCTTAGTCTAGTAGGTCAGTAACCTACAAGACTACACATGACACAGCTTTATGATAATCAGTTAGATATTTAGGTTTTTTTTGAAAAAAGATTTAAAGATTCATAAAATCATAATATGATTTACACAACAACTCGGTAAGTTCAATCAACAGTAAAAATCAGTCATTAGAGATTTTTTATCTTTGATTTCCTGAATCTAATTCCACGACTGTTAATTGGCTGGAAATGAAACTCAATGCCTTGAAAATCGAAATAGTTGAACTTTGAAGAACAATAGAAATTAGATTGAGTTGTTGGAATGATGCCGTTAACCGATTCACAATGTGCATTCAGTATCCATCACTACTAGGCCTTATGCCTTTTTTTTATAGTTAAAGCTGAATTGTCCAATTCTCAAATTATTAAATTCAAAACTAGTAGTAGATGATAATTTGATGTCCCTGTAGGATTTGATGTCATATACGACCGCACGGGCTGCACGTGGTCTGACCCATCGCGTTTTTTTTTCCAAACATCCTACCTCTTTTGGCAATTTATGATAAAATTAAGGGAATAGTTTAAAAAAAACCCAATGGACTTTAATGTTTGGAATGATTAAGTCCTTGGACAATTTTTTTGGAACAAATAAGTCCTTGAACATTCCAAAACCTGTTAAACAAGTCATTGGACTTTCCAAAACATGTTATATACATCCTTATCACCCATAAAATTAAGGGAAAAGTCTAAAAAACCCAATGAACTTTAGTGTTTGGAATGATTAAGTTCTTAGACAATTTTTTGGAACAAATAAGTCATTGGACATTACAAAACTTGTTAAACAACTTCTTGGACTTTCTAAAACCTGTTATATACATTCTTATGACCTATAAAACTAATTAACATAGTAAAATAATGGAAAAAAATGAAAAAAGCCAATAAACATTCATATTTTAAGCGATAAAGTCCCTAAACATTTTTAACCAAAAAAGTACTTAGATCATATAAAATAAAACAAATATACCAAAAAATACTTACATTTAAAAAAAATTATTGATAAAGTTTATTCTAATTAAAAATAAAAGATATTATGTCAGTGATTTTTCAAAT